TTTTTATTACAAAAATGCAAAAAAACCTAAGTCTCACATTCAGAGCAGAAACATAAACAAAAATCCTATCTTAGCATTAAACCATACTACATCAGCCCAGTGTCACCTTCATTAGCCTAATCCCACCCCTTATGCAAACATAGCCCGAAAAAGCCTTAACATCAAGCCTCCAGTTATAGGCACTCTAAAACACAGAAAATAACCCTTTCCATCGCTCTTTCGCAGCCGAAAAGCCCCATCGAACCACATCCCATTTCAGACGCCGGCGTATATCCGCCCTGATTCTCTCAACCACCGCCCTACTTGTCACAAAAACGTTATGTTTAACCGCCTCCTCCCTGGACGACCAAATGTGATACTTAATTAAACTTATCGTGAACCAAAACAAAAAATTAACGTTCCACCTCTTTATTCGCGGCAACCCCTTCATGATTAAACCAAACGTGAGAACAAAACCCTGGGTGGTCAAAAAACACAAGGGGGCGCACTGACCCCACACCTCCCTTGCAAACCTGCATTCCCACAGGGCGTGTTTAATCGACTCAACCTCACCGCATCCCTGTCTGGGGCACAAAGGCTGCCGCGACAGACCGTGCTTACACAAAGTCTCCCGAACTGGCAGCCTATTCCAGACACCCAACCAGTTTAAATCCTTCTGACGATTGTCTAAACCCTTGGGTTGGACTCGCACCCATATCTCAGTTGTAACGCCCAGTACAGCGGGACTCTCGTCTTTCCTAAAAGTTCTGTACATATGTCTATGGTCCAGAACCATTTTCCCTTCTCTGGTCTCCGGGTGCTTCCTAATCCAGTCCACCGCGTGCTCGTAATGCCACGGCAGCTGTTCTGCCTTTGGCGTTGTGTTGGACCACAGCACTAGATGTCTCAACGTCTGGGACATCCATAACAACACGAAATACTGACCCGGGTGGGACACGGGGGTGTGCAGAGCAATGCCCAGGCGGGCCACAAAGAGACAGTCTAGCTTAAGGGGGATATCCGGAACCCCCCTGCCCCCTTCTTCTATCGCCCTATACATGTCTACTCTTTTGACATATTCATATCTCCCGTTCCAAATGAAATTAAAAACAGCCCTCACCACCTCTTTCCGGAAACGTGCTGGCAGTGGGAAAACCTCTGCCAGGTATAACAACAGGGGCAGTACGTCTACTTTAAGTATTAAAACTTTGCCTACAAGGGACAGAGGCCTTTGCCTCCACAGGCCCAGCTTTTGGTGCATCTTACGGAGGCGCGCTTCCCAATTTATTGTAGCCGAATTTGTCACATGGAAATGAATCCCCAATACCTTAACAGGACCATTCACAACAGGTATCCCACCCAACCCGTCCTTCCGGCCCTTCCATGCCCCAAAATACTTAATGGAGCATTTGCTAACATTTAAGAAACCTCCTGTCCCCACCTTAAAATCCTGAAAAATAGAAAGGACTCTTTGCAGACTCAACTCTGAGCTTAAAAACAAGGATATATCGTCGGCGTAGGCGGCCACTTTAACCACCAAACCACCGCTCCCCGGCACTAATACACCCTCGATCCTACTGTCATACCGTATTTTTCTCAGCAACGGCTCAATGTATAACACATATAGTAGAGGAGACAGGGGGCAGCCCTGTCTTACCCCACGCTGTACCGTAAAATTAGATCCCAAAAAGCCATTCACGCTCACACAGGACTCCACATCTTTATAAAGAATCTGTAACCAACTAACGAAATTTGCACCACATCCAAACCTCCTCAACACTTCCCACAGAAAGTCATGCTGCACTCTGTCGAAAGCCTTACTTTGATCTAGGTTTACCAACATCAGGGGAAGGCTCCTATCCTCCACCCACTCCACCACATCCCTAATTAACTGTAGATTCCAGAAGACCTTTCGGCCCTCAACCCCACATGTTTGGTCCACCCCCACTATTGCTCCCATCACCTTCTTCAAACGGCACCCTAACACTCTCGCTAAGATCTTGTAATCGCAACAAAGCAATTGAATAGGCCTCCAATTGTCCAGGTCCCTTCTGTCACCCTTTTTATAAATCAGAGTGATGATGCCTCTTCTCATCGTGCTACCCAGACCGCTTCCAGCAAGAATTTCCCCGAAGACTTCCAGCAACGGGGCTTCCAACTGTTCCCAAAAGGTGAGGTAAAACTCGATGGGCAAACCATCAACCCCAGGGGCACTCCCCCTTTTCATGCCGTGCATAGCTTCCCGCAATTCAACCTTCGTCAAATTCGCCTCTAGTTTAGATACCTCCGACACACATTCGACACCGTCCAGCAGGTCGCCCCACCCCTCACGACTTATTACTTCCTCCCCAAATAGCTTCTTATAGTAACTAGTGACGCAAGCCTCTATCTCCTTTATGTCCTCTTTAAGGCACCCGTCATCGGCTCTAATCTCACTAAAGAGGACCTTCTCCTGTCTAGCTCTTACAGATCCAAAAAACTGTGCCGTACACTCCTCGTCTTTCTCACGAAATGCGCATTTTGCCCTGAAAAGAAAGTCTTTTGCCTTTCTACGCCAAAACTCTCTTAGTTTTGTTTTTAAGCTGGTAGCCTTATCCGCCTGAAAAATGGCTCCGGCATTGTATTCAGTATATAGATTCTCTAATTCCTTCTGCAGAGCGGCAAGCACCTTGCGTTCCTCATGTCGCTTTTTCCTGCAAAAGCCAATCGTAAGCTGTGCCACGGCGCGCTTACACGCCTCCCACCACACAGTTTTCGATGTATAATCTGAAATCTTTTTCTTGAAGCTGTCAATGAAATCTGCTATTAAAAAGCGGTAGGCAGTGTCGTCTAAAACAGACACATTTAACTTCCAGTAACTGGCCTTGTAATTAAACCCTACAGATTCAAAGGACACAGTTAAGACCAGATGGTCTGAGAACCACACTGGTATCGATTGCAGGCCTCGAACTTTAAATTCGGAAGAGGTAAAGATGTAATCCAAGCGACGTCTGTGGCCCCTACTATTTTCCCATGTGAAACCCTGTTTAAAATCAGAAAAACAGTCCTGTAACTTAAACTGCCGTATACACTCCTTTAAATGACATGCACTCCCCCCATGCAAATCAGAAATATCGATATTAAAATCCCCTCCCAATAAAATCTTCCTATTGGTGTATAACCACGGCTCGAGTTCTTTCAAAAAAACAGACTGCATGGCTCTCTCGGCCGGCGCATAAACCCCAACAACCCTCATCCTAACTTTCCCCCAGCATCCATCGACCACTAACAGGCGACCGGGCACCACGGAAGTTACCTCCGTTGCATGAAAACTAGGGTCTCCACACAAAACACCCAACCCTGAAGAATATACCCCACCCACACTCCACCAAGACGGCCCTTTTTTCCACTCTTGGGAAAATCTATGCACGTCGGCGGAACCCTTCAAGTGTGCTTCCTGCACAAAGCATATACTCGGGTTAATATCCGATAAAAACGCAAACACGGCCTGTCTTTTTACGTCATTCCTCAATCCCTGCACATTACTAGAAACAATCTTACAAGCGTTCATTACTGTAAGAGTCAAAAATCCAGTCCAACATCCAGGAACTCCGGCAAACCCGGACTCTCTACCCCACTCCCTTCAGTTGATGAAAAAAACCCTCCAGGGGTCGGGGGTAATTCCACGTCGTAAGGGGAGGCCTCACTCCTTGCCGGAACACCACTAAGCTGCAACGTCCCACTCTCATCCGGATCGCTGGGTCCTTCAGGGTCTGCCCGACTTCCTTCCTGGGGTGGTAATCCCTCGTGGTCCTCAACGGATGGGTCCGGCGGTTCTCCTTCTACCTCTTGTGGAGGATCCGGTTCTGCAGTGTCATCCCTCTCCAATACACCTTCCCGGATCGGAGCCACCTCATCTGGCACCTTTTCTGAATCGGGCTCCACCTCTTCTACATTCGGTGTTTTAGGGTCTTCATACCCAGTGTCTGACAATAACGGCCCCTCCTCCTCTGATGCTGAGAGGGCCTCCTTAGATTTCTTCCCCTCAATCCCGGAGCTATCCTCTTCCGGTACATTCCTCCCCTTTCTTTTACGCCTTCCCTTTTTTTCTACAGTCGTCCACTCGGACACCGGAGGTCCCTCCTCTTCAGAATCTACAACATCTACACCAAGAGGCTTAAGACCTGAAAAAAGATCTCGGTTCTTGCTGTAACGTCTTTCACCCGGGCTCTGTTGTTTTCGTGCATCCTTCTTCGTGGATGGGCCTTCCCCCAGATCTTGGCCTGTCTCTTTCCGAGACTCCACCCGGTGAGTACTATCTCTCATTCCCGCCTCATCACCCTTGACTATTGATGTCGCTGCAGCTGCCCCCGCAAAATCCCTTTCCGCCACCACCGACGCAAACCTCCTATCCTTCTTAGGACACGCTCTGTAGCCATGACCCTGCTCTCCACACAAGTTGCAGACTAAAGGATTTTTGCAAGATATTGTCGCATGCCCTGCTCTCCCACATCTTCTGCACATCTCAGTCGTACAGTCTACCGAGATATGCCCCAACTGCCCACATCTTCGGCAAGTTCTCGGCTGCCCGGGGTACTGTACATAGCCTCTATTTGACCCGATATTAAAATTAGCCGGGGGATACATAACGCCACCCACTTCCACCTCACTTGCGCGGAAACGCACCATGTACCGGCGCTTGCATGTCCAATAACCCTCCTCGTCAATAATCTTCTGTCCTGCCCCAAGAATGTCCATGTACCTTTGCAAAAAAGTAACAACGTCCGCTTCAGGTGCGTGGGGGTTA